AAAAAAAGCCACTTTGGGCCAGGCTGGGTGGCTCACACCTGTAATCCCAGCACTTTGCGAGGCCGAGGTAGACGGATCACTTGAGGTGAGGAGTTCCAGACCAGCCTGGACAACATGCGAAATCCCGTCTCTAATAAAAATACAAAAATTAGCTGGGCGCGGTGGCAGGCGCCTTGTAATCCCGGCGCTTTGGGAGGCCGAGGCAGGTGTGGATCACTTGAAGTCAGGAGTTCGAGACCAGCCTGGCCAAAATGGTGAAACCCCATCTCTACTAAAAACACAAAAATTAGTAGGGCATGGTGGTGGGTGCCTGTAATCCTAGCTACTCGGGAGGCTGAGGCCTGGAGAATCACTTGAACCCGGGAGGCGGAGGTTGCAGTGAGCCAAGAGCAGGCCACTGCACTCCAGCCTGGGCAACAAAGTGAGATGCTGTCTCAAAATACAGATCAAAGGATGTGGATACCAGGAGACAGCAGTATGCCTTCATTGTAACTATATAGTTTATTTAAACCAAACTATGATAATACAGAGAAGAGACTGAGGTGGCAGCTGCCCAGAATCTTTGTGGAATACATATGCAAAGTAGTAGGAGTCCTTGGACCCACACTTCAGTTACAGACAGACAAGTCAGCTGCATAAATACAGAGAACATAAGACACAAGGCATTTCACAGCTTTTTGCGTTTCCATTTTAAATGTATGTTACAACTTTACATATTAAGTTACTACTCCATGTATTTTGTGACAATGGCTAAGGATGCAATGGCCCCATCCCCCTGACATATGCAGACTCTGGTCCATAACAAAGAACATTTCAGTGGGATACCAAACAAGCTCTTAACACATAACATACAAAAAGATCTTTAAAAATCAAATTAATACAATGTTCTTCATGTTAAATGAGGAAGAAGCGAAGTTAAAAAAAAAGAAAAAAAAGAGACATTTGGGTGCTTTAAATGTATAGTATCTTGACGTCTAAAATGTTTCATTCCCTTCCTCCAGGGGAGAAAAAAATGTTTAACCAATGGAAAAAGAAAGCAACATCCTAGCGCCCTACAATGAGGAAGAACCCCAACCTGACAGTACTTAGATGCTTCCATATAGTAAATACAGCAGGTAGCAGAGCAAAGTCACAAGTATTGGCTTGGTTTTTATTTCTATGCTTATAAAAAAAATATGAAGCTTCTTTGTGTGGACTGAACGGGTGTTAGCCTGTGGGTGTTGGTTTTCAGTGCCTGTACCCCAGTGGCTGTTTACATTCCAGGCCCCTGTTAAGCAGTCTCCACTGCCAGCTAGCTGTCTGTACACTTTCTCCTGGGGGAGGAGTTCTTGTCTTCAGTTTACTGCTGTAGGGTTCCTGGTTCTGTTACATGCTCATGTGTTCCGGAAGAACATATGAAATATCATCCCACGGATGACGATACAGCCCCTGCTTCAGCCTCTTCTGATCAAGATAGTGTCCTAAAATGAAGCAAACACGTCTTTTTTATTAGAGCTTCATAAGCCTGGTGAGAGCGAGAAGGTAAGGAAGGGAAATCGTTCCAACACACAAAAAAAGTGAATACAAAGCAGTGGGAAGTTTAGTCCATATCCATTCCATAGGTAGACTTTGTAAAAGGGAACTGTTGGATCTGATTCTATAAGCAAAATTTTAAAGGAAAATAAACAATAACAATAAAAAATTATATTTTCCTGGGCTAGCAATCATTTCTAATAGCAAAGAAACAGGTGTGGTGGCTCACGTTTGTAATCCCAGGTCTTTGGGAGGCCGAGGTGGACAGATCACCTGAGGTCGGGAGTTCGAGACTAGCCTGACCAACATGGAGAAATCCAGTCTCTACTAAAAATACAAAATTAGCTGGGCATGGTGGCGCATGCCTGTAATCCCAGCTATCTGGAAGACTGAGGCAGGAGTACTGCTTGAACCCAGGAGGCAGAGGTAGTGGTGAGCCAAGATTGTGCCATTGTACTCCAGCTTGGGCAACAAG